AGGGTTGGAACATCAGGGTTAATTTATGGTGGGAACGTCGAGGTTGCGATAGGGATGCTTCTGGGTTGTAACGTTAGGGTTGCTTTAGGGATTCGTCAGGGTTGGAATGTCGGGGTTGCTTTAGAGATGCGTCAGAGTTGGAACATCGGGGTAGCTTTATGGTGGGAACGTCGAGGTTGCTTTTGGAATGCGTCAGGGTTGAAAAGTCGAGGTTGCTTTAGGAATGCCTTAGGGTTGGAACGTCAGGGATGCTTTAGGGTATGAACGTCAGGGTGCTCTATGGAGGCATCAGGGTAGAAACCTCGGGGTTGCTTTGGGGATGCGTCAGGTTTCGGATGTCTTGGTGGCTTTAGGATGGGAACGTCAGGGTTGCTTTTGAGATGCGTCAGGGTTGAAACTTCGGGGTTGCTTTAGGGATGCGTCAGGGTTGAAACGTCGAGGTTGCTTTAGGGATGCGTCAGGTTTGGTACGTCGGGGCTGCTTTAAGGGTGCATCAGGGTTGGAACTTTGGGATAGCTTTAGGGATGCATCAGGGTTGCGTCAGGGTTGCGTCAGGGTGGCGTCAGGGTCCCCCCCGTAGGTAGGGGGAAGTAGAATACTCCCACAGCATTCCCTGCTTGTCGTAAGAGGCGACTAAAAGGGAGGGTATGAATGGTGTGTGCATGTTCTGTATGGCTATTTCTCTCTGTAATTCTTTCTATCCCCTTTTTTTATATGTTTTTCTTGTCTCTTACTTCCTTAGTTTTTCCTTTCTTTTCCTCTGGGCTTGTGCCTATTTATATCGAATAAAAAATATGAAAGATACAACCTCAGAGAATAATCCGTGTGGGAGGGAAACCCACACGACAGCGGTGTTTGGTGGTGGTAGGACAGGCCACCCATCGTCGACATCATGCAACTGTCAGGAGTCTGTGGTAGGCAAACCGGCCCAGACTCTGGCTAATGTCTCGGGAAGTTGTTCGCAGGTAGGTGACCTGGCCGGCGAACTGACCAAGGCTCCAGGAAGAGATGCACGGATGGAGGGATAACAGAGGGAGGCTAAGGCTCTGAAGGAGTTGCGGCTGTCGGATACGGACTCTCCGATCAAGACCAGGGGGAGCAAGAGGATGAGGCGCATCATCACGTCGTCGGGGGAGGACGACTGTATCATCGTCGAACTTGACGCACCAGGAGGGAATGATGGAAGCCAGCCGATACTAACGCTGGAGGCAGGAAGGCTCCCGGACATCCTTAGGTTAAACCTAAGAAGGATGGAGATAGAGAGAGCGCGATGCTCTAATATGAAAGAGAGGTATCTGGCAAGATAAAGCGCCTCATCAAGGATGCGCTCATCATTGCCAATTAAATTGAGGAGCGACTGGACAGGCAGTCTGTCTCCCCGCTCTCAAGAGCTGAAGCGGTAATTCAGCTGAGAACGAAGGCTAAAATGAGGGATGAGAACATCCGTCGAAAAGATGAAAAGATCGCTAGGCTTAAAAAGGAGCTCAGGAAGCGGGAGGTTAAAAAACAAAGCCAGGGGGTAATGGCGGTTACTGTTCCAAGCCAAGGGAAACAGGTGGTGCCTACAGCAAACAGGGCAACCACAGCTTTGGAGAAGAGGCGGGAGGATGAAAGGGAGGGGAATGTGATGGCCATGTAGAGAGAAGTCAACAAGAGCATTGAGGCCCTACAGCGTAACCAAGTTGAGCTGTGGAACGCCTTCACTGGCACCAATAGATCATCCCAGCGGGGGACAGGCTTGACCGAGGGGACTGGGTTGGAAGGAAGGAAGAGTGCTCCTACTCCAGGGACTTCGATTGCTCCCGCCCCAGGAGTGCCTACCGCGGGTGTAGTTGCCCCTTCACAGGATTGGTTCATCGAGGTGGTGGGGAGGAAGAAACGCCGCCAGCTGACGGAGAGGACCGTTGCTGCAAGAAAACCTTCAAGAAAGGTAGAAGAGAGCACCAGGAGAAGTGCCACAGGATGTAGCACTAAGGATAAGAAGAATTAGAAGAAGAAGAAGAAGAAAAACCGCGGCAGCGGAACTAGAGAGACTGCAGCGGTCTCACTGGTATACAAAGAGCCAATGTCGTACCGTGATGCTCTTGCCAAGGCCAGGGAGAACATTAGTCTCAAGGATATTGGGGTAGAGAGTATGACGATGAGGAGTGGTCTGACGGGGGATTTCATCTTCAGTGTCAGGGGGAAGGAAGCCGCAGTGAAGGCAGCCCGGGTAGCCGAGGCTCTGAGGAGGACGGTACCGGAGGCCAAGATCGCTCGGCCGCAGAGAATAAGATCCTACAGGCTGATGGGCATCAACTAAAGCCTAAATTTGACTGTTGTTAGGAACGCTCTTCTCACAATAAAGGAGAACTCTGACCCCAATAGAATCTGGGTTGGTAAAATAAGGATGGGTAAGAGAAGTCTCTGGAAGACGGTTGTCTCTGCTCCGGTGGAAATGGCACTGGCTTTCATCAAGAAAGGGAAGATAGACTTCGGACTATACTGGGCAAGAGTGGTCGAGCTCCGGCAAAGACCATTGCGTTGCCACCGTTGTCTGGCTAGAAGTCATGTTGCTGCGAGCTGCCCGAGCCCGACCTCTAGAGCAAACCTCTGCCATAAGTGTGGCCAACCGGGCCACAACGCGAAGGACTGCAAAAACAAGGTGGAGTGTCCGGTGTGCAGGGACGCCGGGAGCAGGAACAAGAACCATCGGGCGGGGACCTATAAGTGTCTGGTGGGCCCTCCGCGAAAGACAAATAACGAAACGTGCGCGAACGCGAGTGCTAGTGAGGCTCGGGTGCCTGGTGTTTCGGTTGTGGGGATGAATAGGGGGGTGGATATGGGGATGGACGTGGACCTGTCCACCCCCACAAGAGACGCAAGTGGAGCAGGAGCGCAGGACAAGGACTGCGATACGAACAGGTGTGCGAAGCCTGCAGCAGGAGCGGGGATCAGTGGTGTGACTATTAACAATGTCCCCCAGTGAACAATGTGTGCAGGTGAACCTGAACCATGCACAGGGTGCGCAGGATCTACTGATTCAGCGTATGCGCGAGTGTGGAGCAGGGATCGCGGTTATCGCAGAGCCGTGGTGGGTGCCTCCAGGGGAGAAGAAATGGTTCTCGTCCCGGGGTGGGGGGCTCCGCTATCTGCAGTACTGGTTGGTGAAAGCGGAAGACCCTGCAGTCTGGTGTTTAGGGGTAACTTCTTTGTAGCCGTTAAGTGGAGGGACTCGCGGGTGATTTCTATCTACTTTCCCCCCAGCGAGGTTATTGGTGAATTTTGTAGACTCCTGGACGAGCTTAAAGAGCTCTTGGGAAGATTCCCTAACTCTCCGGTGCTGGTTGCTGGCGACTTCAATGCCCGGGCCTGTAGATGGGACTTAGATGGTAGGGGTAACCTAAGGGAAGAGTTGCTCTCTACCTGGGCCAATCGTTTGATCTTGCACCTCTTCAACCGGATTGGTCGTCCTACGTGCGTTCGGCTGCAAGGGTTGAGCGATATTGACCTCACGTTGGGCTCGCCAACTGCAAGTATCCGCCTATCGGAATGGAGGGTAGATGAGGCAGAGTCCCTTTCGGACCATGCGTATGTCGTTTTTGAGTATTGCCACGAGACTGCAGGGGTCCGAGGCTTGAGCCGGGTTGACAAGACTTTCCCTCGGTGGAATGCGCGGACTGCGGACGAGAACATGCTCGCTGCTGCTCTCATATCGGGCGACTGGACGCGTCATGGTGGTGTGTGCAGTGCGCGAGTGTATGTCAAGTCGCTACGCAAGATGTTGGTGCGCGTGTGCGACATGGCACTGCCGAGAGCGGGGAACACTAAGAACAAGAGGAGGAAGGCGTGCTAGTGGTCGCAGGAACTGTCTGCACTCAGGGAGAAGCGACTGCGGCTAGGAGGCGCTTTCTGAAGGCAAGACGCAGCGGGGAACAAAGAAGAATAGAGCTGTGCCTGGAGGCTCGCAGGGAGACTAGAAAACTTTTAAAGAGGGCCATTAAGAGGGCCAAAGCAACTGCTTGGAGAGACTTCATAGGGACACTGCAGGCAGACCCGTGGGGCAGACTATATCGCCTGGTCATGGGAAAGCTAGGGCAATACTCTGCACCCCTGATGGAGGTGCTCGAACCGGACGTGTTGGACCTGGTGTTGGGGGGCCTCTTTCCCTTGGTGGGGCAGATCAATGCTCAGAACGTGCGCGGGGTGCAGGTGGATGGTGCAGCGGTAACGCCGGAAGAGGTGCTGGCTGCGGCGAAGAGGATAACCGGTGGGAAGGCTCCGGGACCGGATAGGGTCCCGGGCATAGTGACCAGAGCAGCGGCAGTACACTGCGGGGTCGATATCTCGGTGCTTTTTACGGAGTGTCTTAGGACCAGCAACTTTCCAACAGCCTGGAAGAGGGCTAGGCTGGTCTTGATAAAGAAGAAGCAGGACGCCCAACCCGACCTGCCTAGCTCCTACAGTCCGATCTGCCTGCTGGATGAGATTGGAAAACTTCTTGAAAGGATAATAGTGTCAAGGATTGGTGAGTGCCTGGAGTCAAGGGGTCTGCTTTCACAGGCGCAGCATGGCTTTCGCGTTGGACGCTCAACGGTTATTGCCATTATGGTGGTTAAAAGTATTGTGCGGGAGTGCGGGGACAGTGAGCGCGTCGGGATCCTGACCTCGCTGGACATCAGCAATGCGTTTTATTCGCTACCGTGGGAGACCATCCTCAGGGCGTTGGACGGGAAGGGCCTCCCCACGTATAACGCGAACATTGTTAGGAGCCATCTATCGCAC